CCTGTAATTGTTCAAGAAAGGCATCATTGACTTGGTAGCTATTTCAACGAAAATGTCAACACAGTATGCAACTAGTGTAAAAAAAAAAAAAAGACAAATTCCATGCTTGGATTCTTTAGGAAGTGATCTGTAAATAAAAGAGGGGAGAAATGCCCGTATACAAATCTATGATAAAATAGCATTTGGAATGAAGCACACAGTTCAGGGCATCAAATCACACTTGAAAAAGGATATTGTTGAGCTGGAAACATTCATGCTGAACAAAATGTGATTCAAAAGAATTTTTTTCTCCATTTTACAATGTTAGAAATACATTGATCAGACTTGCGGGCTACTAATTACTTTGTTGATAGAGCCAACATATGTTAAATAACCCTGTCCCTGTTTATGGAATATTGACTATATCTGATTGGCCGCTGATTGACTTGGAATGCTGCATTATATGAGCTTTGACCTAAGAGTGTTATCAGTTCTTATAGTGTCAAGGAAAACACTTGAATATATTTGGAATAAAGTGTTCTCAAGAGGAGACCAATGCTGTTTTGATTATTCCTCATATGTGCAGGGGGTGGATTCATTGTAGGGGATCAGTGTAAAGAAATGGAGTATTGTAAATTCTCACTAGGCCATTAAGATCACTAGGTGCCCGTAAGCAACCCTAGGCTCTCCAGTTTTGGCATCATCTTCCCTGAAATCAATATCAAAATCCACTGGCTGTGAAGTATCATAGAATGCTCAAGATGAGGAGTTCTTTAAAAAGTGATACAAAATGTAATTGGATCTATGTGTTGAGCAGAAAAATAGATTTCATTAGCTAAATCAGGGGTGTCAAACTCAATTTCCCTGAGGGCCGCATCAGCATTGCAGTTGACCTGGGGGGGGGCGGGGGTGTGTGGCCAGAGTGGGTGCAGCCTACTGGGTGGGCGTGAATGGAGTAGGTGTGGTCTACTGGGTGGGCGTGGCCAGTTCTACATCATTTGCGTCAAGGGTGCCTATGGGGGCCTCGGCAGGAGTGGGACAGATCTGAGGGTCTCTGGCAGAAGGGGGTGGGACCGGGGAAAGTGCCAAGGCATGGTCCACGGGGCAAGTGCCAAGATGGCCACCACAAAATTGTACATTGGTTCCCGGCTGGCCTGGGCCAGGGCCAAGGCAGCAGGGGCTGTTCCCTCACTGTTTCCAGGATGGCTTCGCGGGCCACATGAAACCACTTTGTGGGCCGTATCCGGCCCCCGGGCCTTGTGTCTGACATGTCTGAGCTAAATGATCGTTCTGATTCTAAAATTCTATGAGGATCTTGTTGTATAGGGAGATGAAGTAAAATTTTAAGATTATTGATTTTTTAAAAGGCAACTACCTGTTAGTATGTACCATGTTTCCCTGAAAATAAGTCCTAACTTGATTTTTGGATGTGGGCCTAATTTAAGCTCTACCCCCAAAATAAGCTCTAGTTTTAAACCAAGGTGCACACCTAAAACTCAAGCAAGGGCAGGGGTGGGGAGTGGAGCTGTTCCAAGAGCCCCGCACCCGCTTACCTTACCAGTAGGACCACCGCAGCCAAGCCTCCCATGCCTCTACACCTGTTGCACTGCTGCCCAAGTTCTTCTGTGACTGCTTGTAGCTGCATGGCTTGTTGCGCCAATTGCGCCAGTACTGCCACTCGTGGCAGGGGGCCGCATGCTGCTTTGGATAGTGCTGCCACTCACACGCACCGTGGTGCAACATGCCACACAACCTCCTGCTGCAAGCAGTGGCAGCAGCCTGAAGCGCTGTGTGGCGTCCCGCTGCGTTTGGTGGCATTGGCCCAAAGCACCATGTGGCCTCCTGCTATGAGCAGCAACACCGGCCTGAAGCACCATGAGGCCTCTTGCCATGAGTGGCGGCACTGGCGCTATGTGCCCAATGGCGTTCAGCCACAAGTGGCAACAAGTGGCTGCTGAAGAAGTCAAGCAGTGGCACGACATGTGTTGGGGCACAGTTGGCCTGGCTACGATGGTCCTAAGGTACGACATCCCCTGAAAATAAGACCTGATGCCTCTTTTGGAGGCAAAAAATATATAAGGCTTGATAATATTTTCAGGGAAACACGGTATCTCTTTTCCAGACCTAAAAAAGAAATTGCAATTTCTTTTTATATTTACTCTTACTTTTTATTTTAAAACCTTATACTTAATAAAAATGTTTTGATTTAAGTCAAACTTTATAACTGTAATAGCAAAAACTATTTTGAAACATTCTGGCTTATATGATAGGTTTTGTTCTTTGTGTTAACAACTTAGAATTAATTTATTTAAGATTATTTATTGATGAATTATAATGAAATTCTTCCCAACAAATTAAATAGTGCCAAGGGCATAAAGGAAATGACTACTACTTGTGCCTGATTAATATCTGGAGATGGAAGTATCCCACAAGTAGGGATTGTTTGTTCCTTTCCTACCCAATAAAATCTCATTTCAGGATCAATTTCTTTTTAATTTCACATGATCATGTCCTTTGTGCAATCAGGCAAGAAGCAGAATTATAATATAGTTCAGGTTGTACTCAAGTTTACTTTGTGTAGTATACCAAAAACTAAAAATATATGTGGAAAGCAAAATGCAGAAACAAAATCTGTTCTTGTTCATAAATAAAATAATGTAATTGGTCAAGTAAACTCAGAACTCTAGAAAGATTTTCTGAACAGTACACATAGTCTTTGACTTATGATCACAGTTGGGACCAATTATCCATTGCTAAAGAAAGCAATTGTTAAGTAAACATTGCCCTATTTTACAACCTTTTTAATCACATTTGTTAAATGAATCGCAGCATTTATGATATGAATGATCCTTGGGGAAATCTGGCTTCCCTCATTGTCTTTGCTTGTTGGAAGCCATCTCAGAAGGTCACAAATGGTGATCACATGACACCTAGATGCTGCAACCATTGGAAATACGTGCCAGTTGCCAAGCAGCCAAATAAGGATGCTGCAATGATTTTACTGTAAGTGTGAGGACTCGTTGCAGGTCACTTTTTTCAGTGCCATTGTAACTTTGAACAGTCGCAACGGTTACAATGGTTGGACTTAGATCCAAATGCACATACAATTAGAGACAGTTCACAAGTGGTACTGTTATTCATACTAACCAAAGTGAAAACAGAACACAAGACAACCACATTAGCTATACATCTATATGCAATCCAATTTCTAAATATGTTATTGGTTCTAGGTCTGCATCTCAATGTCTATTGATGAGTACCTTCCACTGCCAACAATCCTATAAGGATCTATCTGTTACTGTTTTTCATTGCTTGGATTGCTATTGGCTCTCTCCTAACAGGAAAACAATCATAAAAACAAGAAAGAAACACAGAGAGCTCCATCCGTCTTCTACTTCAAGGGCAAGTGAGTGGATATGGGGAAGGAGGTAGAGTGGTTGTCAGTGATAAGGAGCTAGATGTCAATCCTTCAGCGTAGACTCAGTCAAGAAACGGAGTCACCTGAGGTATTCTTAGGTGTTCTTGAATCTTGAAAACCACTGAAATTCTCTCTTTCTCCCTTCTTACATCAAAGAAAATAAAGGCCAGGGAACTCAGCTTTTTCAATCCCTCATTCTGTCTACCCATGCTAAGTTGAGGTTTACACAATGGTAACTGAATTCTTTCTTCAAGACCATCTCCACAGACCTCCACACCATGTATGCTTAGTGAGATTGGCCCAAGAATCACTCACCTACCCAAGTAGGGAGCTACAACAGATGGGATTCTAGCATGGCCAATAAGTTTAACAGAAAATAAGCTTTTGAAAATGAAGAGCTGAGACATTGCACATAAAAGCAAGTTTTATTTTTATTTGATAGAGATGGAGACAGAAGTATGGCATTAACTTTTATTCTATTAGTTAAGAGTTACAATTTGCCCCTAGAGGAAAAGTTAAGGGACTTGGGACTTTACTCAAGCCTAAATTAAACCCTGACACTGAAGGCCTGGGAATTAATTATCAGGATATCTATATCTTGGTCATTCCCAGTCTGCAGCATGGAACACATTGCGGTATACAGTGATACCTTGGTACTCAACTGCTTTGAAACTCATCGAATTTGGTACTCAATGCATTTTGATGCACTTTTTTGTCCCCGGCATTCATTGTTTGTTTAGTACTCAACACACAAGCTATAACATGTTGGTGTTGACTGCCTTTTAACTAACTACATTATTACTTATGGGGGAAATGTGATGTTGTACTCATCACAACTCCCAGAACCAATTAATAATGAGTATCAAGATACCATTGAAAGTTTCAGACACCATCTAACTGGGAATTCTAATAGTGATCAAAAATACCTGGCATAGTAACCTACGATATCTGATAGTTAGCACATAGGCAAAGCTGGTACAGAGTATATGAATTTACAACTATTGTACATACAGAGATATGATATTTAAATGTTATCTTTGAAATATGCAATCAACAAATAATATTATTTTTCCCTCCTAGCATTTTTCCCACAAGTGCAGATCCTCTTTTTTGGATCAACTGATTGTTGATCCATTGTTTGAATAAGGAATTGATTGACTGGTTTGTCACTCAAATCTGATATTGTGGGGCTGAGAGAATGTGACTGGCCCAAAGTCACCCTGTTAGCTTTCATGCCAATGGTAGTGCTAGAACCCACTATGTGCTGGTTTCCAGCCTGATGCCTTAACAACTACGGTAGATCAAATTGGTTCTCAATTATTTATTTGTTTATGAGTTAGGTTAATTATTCTATATTATTCTGGGAGCCCCAAGCAATGAACAATGCACTTCTTCTTCTATTTCTCCCCACAACCATGATCTCTGAAATAGGTTAGACTGAGAGAATGTGACTAGTCCAAATTTATGGAGTGAACTTTCATAATTGAGGATGAGCCTGAATTTGAGCTCCTGGAAGACAAAGGGGAATATACATTTAATGAATAGAAATAGGTTTAATAAAGCTACCTGACAAAAGCACATTATATTGGCATCTGCCGTAGAGTTAAGCACAACAGAAAAATCTCACATCATTCAATGCAGTGTCATCTTCCATTCCTTGTATTACTTCCATCTTTGTCTGGAGTCCACATATATAAGTTCCAGGACCACAGGAGGAACTCCATAAACCAAATTTTCCCCAGTCATGGGAATTACCTACCAATATTTCATTATTACTACACTTGAACTGAATATTGTTGGCTGCTGTATCATCTGATGGCCCCTGAGGTCGTTCCACTCTTAGGGAGAAAGCCACAAGTTTGGACTCTCCTCTGCAATACTTTATATCAGACCAGGCACCCCATCTGCCAAAGAAAACATTAGTATTAGCTTGAGCAGCTTATCCAGAAGTGGACAACAGAAACTTCAGAAGGACTAATCAAGATAATATATTTATTGTAGTGGTGGGTCAAAAAATTGGTGGATCAAAAAAAAATATCAACTGGCATTCATTTTTATTGTAAAACACAGTAAATTCAAAGCTAAGGAACTGTGATAATCTATTCTTATATAAGTATTTTTTAAATGACTCTTGATATTCAAGTCCACCAGCTACTGACAGGAACTGAGCTTTTATTTCTATTTTTGCTTCTTTGCAAGTTATCTGTCTGTCTATGGGGAATGCAAATGTGAAATCTAAAGAGATAATCAAATAACACACATCTGAGAGTACTGTAAATTGTTGAAGTTTTATTCAGAGCTTAGAAAAAATAGATTTCTTAGATCCTCCAGCAAATTTGTGGGCAGAGAAATTGACCAGGCCAGATTTTTCTAGTAGAGAATTATTAGCAGCCTTGCTTTGTTAGCAGTGAAGAATAGAACAGAACAGAACAGAACAGAATAGAATAGAATATGGAAGGAACCTTGGAGGTCTTCTAGTCCAGCCCCTTGATCAAGCAGGAGAACCTATACCATTTCAGATAAGTGACTGCCTAGCCTCTTCTTAAAAACCTCCAGAGATGGAGCCCCCACGATTTCTGAAGGCCAGCTGTTCCACTGGTTAATGAGAAACCAGAGAAGCAGCAGTCTACTCATATTCCACATGTATTTTACTGAAATTCTTTTAAAGAATTTTTAAAGCAAATTAATTTAATAAGATATAAGAAAATAAGGTATTATTAAGAAGAGAGTTTGCTGGGGTGACAAAATAACCACCTTCTCTGCATTTAAAAAAAAATGAATGAATTCAAAGTACTACCTCAAAAAACAAAGGAGCCTCATTTTGCTTAAAATGATACTGTGTTTCAGATGAAATCTATAATGTTCCAATTCATCTGTTTATATGCTACCATTCTGGATATTACAATTTTAAGAGGAGCAAAATATTAGATAATTTTCATTCTAGTACATGATCTGAAATAGATAAGAACTGACAGCAATAACACTTCATATCAAGATACTGAAGAGGAAGCATACTTCCAGATTTATCATTTTGTAAGACAATCCTCCCCAATTTAATACGTGATAGATGTACCAGGATTCTGACTCTTTCAACTGTCCAGTTGAGTGGACACTGGTTGGTTGGAAGGAATTCTGGGAGCTGTGGCCTCCACAATGTAGAAAGAACATGTGGAAGATAGTTCTAGGGACTGTAACTGTGGTTAACCTGAATGCATAATCCAGCTCAGTGATATGGTTGACATACAGTAACTGGGATGCTCTCTCATTTAATTCAACCAATACCTGACTAACATTGGTGATAGGGCTACACAACATACAGGATTATACATGTTTTAACAGTGATGGTGGTAGTTCAGAAAACAGAACAGAATAGAATAGAATAGAATAGAATAGAATAGAATAGAATAGAATAGAATAGAATAGAATATTCTTTATTGGCAAAATGTGATTGGACACACAAGGAATTTGTTTCTGGTGCATAAGCTAAGATCCTACTCACTTCCCAACAACAGATGAAATAAACTTTTTATCATCACAGAATAGGCGTATGCCATTCAGGGATGTATCATCCTCATGACTTGTGCCACCTTGATATGGCTCAACCTAGTGGAGAAAAGAGGGGAAAAAACTGGATCAAAATAACTAGCATACTTTAAGACACTTCTTTTAAAAATGATACCATCCTTTTTAAAGCAGACTGTGGAGATACCTTAGAGAAAATTGCCCTTTTCTCTAGGAGTGAAGCTCTGTCCAAAGACCAGCTCTATTTTATTTTTAATTTAATTTGCTTTTTCAAAATCCTACAGAGAAATGGATTTTATGTGGCCCTTCAGCAGAAGGTATTTCCCCAGGACTAATCTATAGCCTTCAAAATATTCCCAAGTCGTGTCCTTAGTATTTTGTAGCACAGCCACTGATTTTCAGAGACACAATTTTTTATCCATTTTTCCAATTAAAATATTGTAAAGTATGTGTGATATTTCCTAAAACCTAATGAGTAAAATTTATATTACTCCTGAACACTCTCAAAGAAACATCTCATTCCATCTGCCGATGACAGAATCTTTGAATCCAGAAATCTCAAATTTGGACATAATCTTTTACAGAAGTGTGATTCCACCCAAGACTATGACAGGAGCCAATAAAAAACCTAACAGTTCCAATGTCAGAGCATAGTTAGTTAGTTAGTAATTAGTTAGTTAGTTTTTGTTTTTCTATTATTTTGTTTGTTCCACCAAACCGTCATGACTATCAAAGAACAAGTAAGGGCAACTATTACAATTTGTGGGGTAGAAATGTATAACTGGTTATTATCCACATATCAAAGATTCTTATAGCTGAACTAATAGATGCAGAACACATCCATTAACACCCACTAGCAGTCAGAAGACATGGTAAAAACTCTTTAATTTTCACAGCACAAGGATATACTTAATTATAGTTTTAACTGGGAAACTTGAGCATCCTAGACCAAACCAATTCGAAAATGGTAGAGAATTCCTGGAAGCCTGGCATTCAGACAAATCACCATCAACAGGCACATAGACATAGACAAACATCTACATACCGTGCAAAAGAGACAATCAACAAGCTAAAAGGGGAATAAAAACATCAAAGCAGCTCCCCACTCACAATCAATATCCAGATGTACATAGTTTAACATCTGGGTAATTAATATCTGACCAGCAATCAAAAAGCAAGCAATACCACAACCGAGGAACTGACAAAAAAGCTAACAGTAAACAGCCCAACCAAAGAACCACCAAGGCTGCTCCCAGCAACACTGACAGGGCAAGTCAGAAGAATATAAATTGGGAGCAAACCCCATTCTATACTAGCATTGACGGGTAATGAAATGTCTGCATGAAAACATCAAAGCTCAGAGAGCACTAAGAACCCTTCATTTCAACCCTGAGCTACAACTATTCTTCTCTGTCAGCAATGGATATTTTTTCTCGATGCTTTCATAAAGATGTTAATCAATAACAAGTGTGAAAAAACCCCAGGCATGTGACATCTCACATAGCAGCAGTAAAGGAATTCATAATTGAGTTCCTCATCAACTTGTGCAGGAAATCATAACTGAGTTCCTCAGCAACTAGTTCAGGAAGAAGTAGAACCACTATAAAACAATACCTCCTTATTTGCAACTCTTGTAGTTAGTCCAGAAAGATGTCATGAATAGTGACAACAAATGCAAAAGTATAATAGGACTTGGACTAGGAGTCCCCAGTTTTTCCATCCAAGTTCAGATGAAGGACTTGCACAAGAGTGATTAATGCAGTTTCTATCCTTCAGCCAACTCTGGAGCTCAGCTCAGAGGGAATCAAATAATTTGCTTCCTCCAAGATTTTTTTCTGCTGTTTTTGCTCTACTACCTTCTCTAAACTCTTCTATAAGAAGGGAAAATTGGATTTCAGTATGTATATTGTCCAGCAGTCAGGTTGGGAGTTGGGTTCTTTAAGAGTGAATGCATCCCTGGTTCCTTCAAGGTAGTAGGAATTCCACTCACTCATAGAAGCAGTATCCATCTTTCAGATCACCCTAACCCTACACTTCATTGTCTCTGTGATCAAATACCAACAAGACATATGGCAATATGGCCTGTCAGATCCCTAAGAAAATTCCCAAGTACCAGCTAGGAATATATCAGATCAATCAAGAATCTAATACTAGAATTCTAATCAATCCCCAACTTGTGCAAAGGATGCCAGCCATAGATTCAATCCAAATTTGCCTTCCTGTTAAAGCCATTATTTCATTTCCTCCACTCTGGCACAGAACAATACTTGACCATCGTCTGCATAATCTCCTTTCAATGTTTGAAGAATGCTATCATCTCCTCCCTCAGTCTTATCTTCTTAGGACTAAACTTACCCACTTTTATAGTTTTTGATTTATTGACCCTAGTTACCCTAATTTCCCTTCTCTGAATTCTAAGTAACAAAATCATTAATTAATGTATAAACCTCTGAGAACCATAGAGAAGCTTCAGTGGTAATGGGAGGTACTTGCTGTTCATCAGAAAGCTGTTTGAGGGAAAGAAACTGGTACAGTAAGGACAAGTACAGTGTTTATATTTGTGTTTACCTTCAGTACAAAACCAGAAGCATGGCCTTTTGGACAAAATTCTTTTTTTCCCCAATAGCCCCAGGGTCCTCCATTTTCCACCAAGAGGATAGAGTCATAAGCTTTTGCCCCTTCATTCCCGAGACAGCAGGAGAGGATCAGGAAGACCACAATACTGGTGGAATTTTCCATTGCTACGTAGTCCTCTCTGTAACTGTGAAAACAGCATTAAAGAATAGTAACTGTAAGAAATAATAATTTTGAACACCTAGAAGCAAGCAAAGTTATAACCAGAAGCTAACATGGGTTTGTCAAAAACAGATCATGCCCAAAAAAACTTATTTCATTTTTTGACAAAGTGATTAAATTAGTGGACCAGCAAAATGTTGTGAACATAGTTGGATTTCAGTAAGGTATTTGACAAAGTAGATGACAACTTACTTCTTGAGAAGATAGAAAAATGTGGGATAGATAGCATCACCACTAAGTGGATTTGTAACTTGCTGACACACCGCATTCAATGTATAGTCTTTAATGGAACTGCAACTACATGGAAGGAAGGAAGCAGTGAGGTACCCAAAGTTCTGTTTTAGGCCCAGTACTCTTCAATATCTTCATAAAACATTTAGATGAAGAATTAGAAGGGAAACTCATCAAATTTGCTGACGACACCAAGCTGGCAGGGATAGTCAACACCCCAGAAGGTAGGGTTAAGATCTGGATGGATCTTGACAGATTTAAACAATTGGCCCTATCTAGCAACATGAAATTTAATGGAGAAAAAAGTAAGGTTTTACACTTAGGCAAGAAAAACCAAATGTACATGTAAAGATTAGGTCAAACTTCACTTAATAGCAGTAGCTACAAGAGGGATCTTGGAGTGGTAGTGGACAGCCACTTAAATATGAGCCAGCAGTATGCAGTATCAGTCAAAAAAGCCAATGCAATCCCAGGCTGAGTTAACAGAAGGATAGAATCAAGATCACACGAACTGTTAGTATGCTTTATAAGGCCTTGATAAGACCACACTTCAAATACAGCCTTCAGTTTTGCTCACCATGACACAAAAAGGTGTTGAGACTCTGGAAAGAGTGCAGAGAAGAACAATAAGGATCATAAGAGGTGGGAGGATAAAACATATGAAGAACGGTTGCAGGAATTGGGTATATCTACTTTAGTGAAAAGGAGTATGGGTGACATGATAGCAGTGTGCCAATATTTGTGCCACAGAGAAGAGGGGGTCTTTCCAAAGCAATAGAAGGCAAAACAAGAAACAATGGATGGAAACTAACCAAGGAAAGAAGCAATCTAGAACTAAGGAGAAATTTCCTGGCAGTTTGAATAATTAATCAGTGAAATTGCTTGTCTCCAAAAGTTGTGACTGTTCCAACATTGGAGATTTTTAAGAAGAGATTGGACAACCATTTGCCTGAAATGGTATGGGGTCTCTTGCTTGAGCAGGGGATTGGACTAGAAGACTTCCAAGATTCTTTTTAACTCTGCTATTCTGTTAAATACAGTAATAATTTTGGTTATTTATTTATTTCCCACCTTTATTGTTTCATAAATAACTCATGATGGTGAGCAGACACAATACTCCTTCCTCCTCCTCACAACTACAACCATGTGAAGTGGGTTGGACTGAGAAAGAGTGACTGACCCAAAGTCACCCAGCTGACTTTCATGTCTAAGACAGGACTAGAACTCACAGTCTCTTGGTTACTAAGCTGATGCCTGACTCTTCAGGTATATAATGCCAACTGCACAAGGCCAGCCCTTCCATGAGGTGGAGTTGATATTTTAACCTGCAGATCACATTCTCCACCACCTTACAAAGCCAGAATTACTGCTTCACTCTGGAGAAGGAATCTCAAGTTGTCTCTGTTTGTTTTGAAATACCGTTGTGGGAAGTAATGCCAGACTCAAATACCTCACTCTTGGTGACATTCCACAGAAAGGTATTGGACCCAATCTCTCATTTTATCAGGCCATTTTATGAGATACCTCATAAAAAAATGAGATACCTCATTTTTACCAGTGAATTGGCTGTAACAAACGTGGCCATCAAAATAACATTAGGTGCTTTTCCATTTTAGACCTAGTCTCACTATATTGCCAAACAGTATGTCATATTAAACAGGTCTCTTGGTTTATTGTACAACTTTTTAAAAAATGAAAAAAGTCTGTTTGGGGTTATATATATATCAGAATTATCATCTTGATGGAAAAGGAATATAAAGTATTCCTCATATTCTACAGTCCTAACAAAAATCAAATATCATTTTCATTTGAAGAAAATCTGTGTTTGTGAGGAGCAATGGCTGAACAGAATGTGGCAGAGGATTTCCATTGTCCCTTTAGAACAGGGGTAGTCAACCTTGGCTCTTTTATGACTCATGGACTTCAACTCCCAGAATTCTGGGAGTTGAAGTCCACAAGTCATAAAAGAGCCAAGGTTGACTACCCCTGCTTTAGAACCTTATTCAGGTTGCCATTTTTATTTCATGAAAACTGACTCTGTCTAATTATTTTATTGCAACTTTCCAAACATTGTTCCCCTGTGCAATTTATTTTACAATCCTATTCTTTGGCTCTGGAAAGACTTGGGATCCCAGTTCATTAAAAGTGTTAACATGAAATAATTAAAATAAAATCTGTAAACAAGGAACACAAGGTTCTGCTCTGCCTGATCAAAAAGTCGGATCACTCATTGTTGTGCCTCTTGACAATCTGAAAATTGCACCTGTGGAACTCATATTTCCTTTCAGAACATTGCTTCTAAATATATTGTTTCTAAAAAGAGAAGTTATCACAGTAATTATTAACTATAAACAAGCATTATTTGAACAAGCAATTTGCTAACAAAGGAATGGATGAAGATCAACCAGAAGATGAGAGGCAGGATGAGTGTAGAAATCAGATCCCTATCACGTACAATATTCTATGGGCATATATTGTATGTAAGGGGATCCATTTAAGATTTAGTTTGATGAAATATCAACAAAGGGGTGCATCAAATTTATGTTTAGTAACCAGGAGACTGGGTAACCAATAAGGTTATAGAAGGCCCCATACCAGAACTACACTTTTGAACGAAGCTTTCACAGTATACAGCTAAGAGAGAGAGAGAGAGAGAGAGAGAGAGAGAGAGAGAGAGAGAGAGAGAGAGAGAGAGAGAGAGAGAGAGAGAGAGAGAGAGAGAGACATGGAGTTTTGCCATACCATCCATTCCATTTGTCACTCAGCAATAATGTACTTCAAAGGCAATATATAATCTCCATGGTCCTCACCTACTTAGATTTAAAAAAACAAATGGTATGGGATGCTTGACCTTGCAGAAGAAAATTTCAGCCAAAAACTACTCAGCCCAAGCCAGCCAAGGGTAATGCCAGATAATCAGTGTATTTTTTTTAAATTAAACTCGCCTGTTGCTGAGTTTACTGCCTGAATCTTGAGTTTCCAAGACTCCATGAACTAAACAAAGGCCCTTTTGTTTTCCCTCATAGAAAGAGAAATAAATAAGTTGCAGCCCCTCACAGTAAACACACAGAGTTCATGTACTGCATTGCTTTGGGAAATTGAAAGCATTCCCACCAAGGGGATGGGAGGGGGTGATGCCAATTTGCTTGAAACACCAGCAAATGCACTAAGAAGCCAGAGAAGCTTTCATTCTTCAGTGGGGCCAGATCAGCATTGCAAGTGGGGCATGTTAGCTTATGAAATGATATAGCAACAAAACAAGAACAAATTCCATGCTGGGAGATTCCATTAGAGGTTTTTTCCCCAACCTCTGCTGAGTAAAGCGAGAGAAGTGCTCTCTGTGTGTGATTGTTTGTGTGCATGTGCATCACTGGCAATCCATAATCAAATGAAAAAGAAAACATCCACTAATCAGGGTTGCCTTTTTGTGTTGTGAGTTTTATCTATAGTAGAAGTGTGTGGGGAAAGGTAAAAACTAATTTTGCAAAAATTGTGAGGAACTGGAATTTTTCAACATTTGAAAAGAAGCAGCTATGATTTGCTACAATTCTTAAGAATCTTTTATGTTGTAGTGGCATGGTAAAATCCACAAGGAATCCCACTCAAAACCACAAGTCTGCAAAATAATAATAATAATAATAATAATAATAATAATAATAATAATAATAATAATAATAATAATAATAATAATAATAATAATAATAATAGAGTTGGAAGGGACCTTGGAGGTCATCGAGTCCAACCCCCTGCTCAGGCAGGAAACCCTATACCATTTCAGACAAATGGCTGTCCAGTCTCTTCTTAAAAACTTCCAGTGTTGGAGCATTCACTGCTTCTGGAGGCTCATATAGCAACTAGATACCTTAAGAGTTTTCCAAGATATGCCCAATCGGTTTGAACTATTAATATGGAAGAACAAAATATAAAATACAAAGGAGGAGTCACATTAATTGATTTGATTTACATTAAGTTAAACATAAATTTACATTTATGTTGAAGTTGCTAGTACACTATATGTGCCTCCTGACTGGTGGGAAGTTGGGGAGTGGTAGGTGGGTTTGCAAGGTAATTTATAGTGTCTAATGTGCATAGAATAGCATTAGCATGCTGGTGTAAACTAGCATCTGGTAACACATATAGCACAATAGCTGGTCGTGTTCCTTCAATTAATAGGGAATGCTGACTAGTGGCATGACTAAGTCTACTACATTAATATAGGCCCAAGTTTTTTAAAGGGTGTCCTGAGGCCTCCTGGGGATCCCCAAAGATCCAACTTTCTTGGCCTGGGACGGAGAAGGGGAAGAGATGTACTTTCAGACTTGCAAAGTTCAGTTAACTTACAATAAAATCAGAATTAGGACATCATCATCATCATCATCATCATCATCATCATCATCATCAAGTTGGAAGGGACCTTGGAGGTCATCGAGCCCACCTTCTTTGTGGCAGCCCCTGAGATATTGGAACACTGCTATCATGTCCCCCCTCGTCCTTCTCTTCGTTAAACTAGACATACCCAATTCCAGCAACCGTTCCTTATATGTTTTAGCCTCCAGTCCCCTAATCGTCTTTGTTGCTCTCTTCTCTGTACTCTTTCTAGAGTCTCAGCATCTTTTTTACATCGTGGTGACCAAAACTGGATGCAGTATTCCAAGTGTGGCCTTACTAAGGCATTGTAAAGTGGCATTAATACTTCACGTGATCTTGATTCT